TTCCTTCCTTTAATCTACACAACTCCTTTATTCCGGATAATTAACTAACCCTCTCCAGGAAAGAGTTTGCCCGATCTATATCCACAAAGGCAGCTCCTTTAACGTCAATGGCGGGATACGTTTGTACGGTAAATTTATGATTAAAATTTTCCACCTTTTTGAGCCTTGGGCCTCGGATAAGTTTTCGGACAGGGGTGGCCAGTAAATGTTATTTATAGGACGATGGAAGTGAATTGTGAATTGAGGAAGGAAAAAGGCATTAGAAGTATTAAGTAGTCATCTTAACTTACGAATTCTGATTAACATAAAGTTCGCGTCCATCCATGTTGCCCCGTGGAGGGTTGCACTGGCTAGCGTGGAATGCATCCTATGTCCTGGCATTACCAAGCTCTCACACTGCATGCGCAACAAAACCTATGAACTCGGAGTGGGAACACCGAGACACCCTTACTAACGCGCATGGGAGCGAACGTGGCGGAAACCTCCACTACTGCTGCTGCCGCTGCTACTGTGAGCAACTATCACTGCAGAGGAGTATTAATCCTACCTTACTGCGCCTACTACAACTAGTACTACGAGAGCTAAGAGGATAACTGTAAGCACTAAAACCACTACTGGCGTTGAAAGTGCTACTAATAAGAATAACATATCAGGAAGAAAAACTTCTGCCAAAAATATGTTTGCTGTCACTATTACAAAACCAATTACTTCTAAGGCTACTGTTACCAGTAATACTAGTATTGTTTCTACTAACAATACTGCCGCTACTCGTACTACTACCAATGCTACTACTAATAATACGAGAACTATTACAAGTTTGATTTCTATCACTACCACTTCTACTATTAAAAGCTCCACTACTAATGTTACAACGGGCGATTGGCAACTATTACAAAAGTAACACTGCTGCTGTGGCCAACAGTGGGGATTTTACAGTATTGCCACTAGTTCTGCAACCACTAGAATGAGGGGTAATACCGCCAATACAACTACTGGCATCAATAGTAATAATAATTGCATTTAATGCCGATTTATAGGCACTGTCAAAGAAAGATAAAGCACGGATCCGAATAGCAGTAAAAAAAACTCCCGAAGAAGTGAATATAGGCAGTGGTGCTTTTGGTTACTTTGCATGGTCCAGGAGAAAAAAAACTACAGCTCGTGAAATGACGTCAGTCCAGAAAGTGAATGGTTACGTTTGCATCGGGTGTTTTCAGTTTCTATTCCTTTTCATGGAATTAGGACTGCGCTACACAGGGTGCATGCGAGAACAGTTGCTCGCTGTCGGCTGAAGCAATTGTCCGTAAAGTTGCAGGCTCTAGAGTCAGCACCATTCCTCACAGGATGAGGCCGGGCAGGGGGATCAAAGATCATAAACTCCATCAATACGGATAATTAATTCGGTGGATTCAGTACCAAAACTTGTTGTTACTGGTACTGCCAATTCTACTAGTTCTACTACTAATACCAGAAAAACAAATAATAGCTCTCTTAAACACACACTGGATAAATTGTTCCAGATTGCAATTATGTTAGCAGAAAAGAACTGACGACATCTAAAGGTACGTATTAAAAGAAGAACTAAAAAGACCCCGTGGTGATTGTCGCGTCGGTGGTGGTCAAGATGTTTTAACGTAGTACGCGGACTAAAAGTGTGACTCTTTAAAAACTTAAACAGTAAAAATAGTCCCTTTCGTAATCAACGAAACCACAAGGAATCAACGCTTGTAAGCCCAAAACATTTTTGGTATGTCAACTTTCAGCGTTCCGAGGTTAAAATTCTTTCGGTAGAAGATGCTGGGCGGATTTTATTTTCTTCCGCTCAACAGCACGCATGAGGTTAAATAAAAATGAACAGTATTCCAGACCGGGTCTAGCGTGCATTTTATAAGAGAGCGTCGTAATATCGCTAGTTTTGAAATTTTGGAAGATAAATCCAGTCGTTCTGCGTGCCTCAGAGACTATCAGGCTACAGTGTTCCGAAAGATTAAGTCTCTTGGAGTATGATACATCCAGATTCCTAATAACTTCAGGCACACTTATGTCGTGACCGCTAATACTTAGTTGAGACTGGTAGTCGTCTTCAACCACTATAACGGAGCATTTAGGCCGAGAGAGAGACACTATGTGTAGCCCCACTGAGCAAAGGCCTGTAGGTCGCTGTTTAGGCACTCGAACAAGATGTCGCGATCTGCCGGCTAATATCGATATGCAACTTTCAAATCATCGGCATTCATGAATTACCTACTATTCGGAAATAAATCTGGCACGTGATTAGCAAAAAGGCAAAATAAGAGCCGGCTAAGTACATTCCTTTGAATGACTGCATTCTTCACGCACGTAAAGTTGGAGATAACATTGGAAATCTTAACCCGTAGTATGCAAGCGTCCGGGTAAGAAGATGTCAAATTGAGAAATTTATTCCCTATTCCAAAAGAGGAAATTTCCGAGAGAAAAAGAGCATGGTCAACACGATCAAAAGCCTTAGTGAAGTCAAAATAGACTGCGTAAAGCGCAAAACCATTGTTCCTGAGCAGTTGGTCAACTCGTTGTCTCTTCAATTTTAATGCAAACAAATGTGTGGTCATGAGACTCCGCCCCAAAAGGACCACTAAGGAGGATGATTCCTTTCAATACGTCCTTGACGGGCAGCCACTCTCAAATGTTTTGGAATGGAAAGACCTCGGCGCTCTAATGACCTCCTCGCTGAAACCATCGTCACGATGTAAAAGGGCAGCCAAACGCGCGATGCAGGTGTTATTTACGCTGAGGTGAGGATTTGCGCAGACCGACAAAGAGTTGTTAAGGAAAACCTACATAGACTTCGTTCGGTCCCACTTAGAATATGTAGTACAGGTCTGGCGACCGTGGTTGAAGAAGGATTGTCAACAACTCGAAAGAGTACGGGGGATGGCCACAAACACGGTCAAGAATCTTGATTATATGCCTTACAAAACCAAACTGGCTGAACTAAATCTGTTTCCTCTCAATTACAGGCAAATGCGCGGTAATCTTATCCAAACCTACCGGATTGTCAGAGGAAGTGATTGCGCCCTAGACTTTGACGAATTCTTCGAAATGGCCGGGACGGACCGTTTGCGTGGTCATCCCTTTTAACTGCAGAGGAACGCCTTTTCGCAGAAGGTCATTGGAACGTGGGACGGACTCCCTGATGCGTGTTTCTTCCCGAAACTGTTGAATTCTTTAAGTGCAAACTAGATGCTCATTTGCTGAGAGACTACTGTACATATACTCACGGTTTTTTTGCGGCGGCAGTTCGCACCTGACTCACACTTGCCGCTTACCTTCGAATTCTCAGATTTGCTGATGTAGAAATTGATTCTAATTCTGTTTGTTGATATGAAAAGGGAGTTCGAGGATGAAGACCTCATTCCCTTAATAAACTGACTTAAACATCAAAAATAACAGGACAGAATAGTTAGTGTAGGACACGACGCAAAACCTGCCTTACTTGAGTAAGCGAACGACGGAAGTTGGCTGTCGCTAAGTGTCTCCACTAAGAGGTGGTTTGCGCCCGACAGTGTAATTGTAATCGAAGAATAAAAGGCACAACAGCGTCGGCTGTCTGAAGCAGAGGAGAGTTACACCGTCAACAATTCAAAACATGTCGTGAACCAACCATTAGCAGACACACAGAGTTGTAGGAGTGTCCTTCTGTGGATCAACGTGACGGTCGTAGTAGGTTGTTCACTTGCTTGCAGGTACAGACTACTTCTAGCGTCAATTTTCTTTCACCCAACTCTCACGTGTGGCTCCCCGAGGCTAAGCTCTGCCTAAAGGCCATTACCCGGTAACAGCCACGACCGGCGGCCTAAACCAGGTGAGAGTAACCGTATGTACATTTGCGCACACGGTACTGTGGACTCCCCTGGGCGGCTGCTCGGCTGGAACTTCGCATCGACATCGTCGAGATGAGGCTCCTTCTGGCGCATCACAGGAGTCCACAAGCTTACGTCAATGTCGCAAGCTCTGCAGGCTAACTCGAGTCGTTCTCTCACCACACCAAAGATTTGGCCCATAGTGGAGTTCGGCAGCGCCTGACACTACCGAGTAGCCCAACTAAGAGAGGCACTGCTTGCCCCTCGCAAGGGGAAAGGTGCTAGAAAAGGTGCCCTAAAGAAATGCTGGGGAACCTCGTCGTCTGCAGGCTGACCGTGGTCGCAGACGTAAAACTCACGCTCAAAACAACCAACAAAGAAACAACAACACCATTTTTCTCTTCCCCCTCCTACTTCTCCTTCCTCTTCTTCTTCTCCTTCTCCTCCTCCCCGTTGCCCCTCTCGTCAGGATGGTAAGGTGAGTCCGCTCACTCTGGCAGCCGGAATGTTTGTTCTCTTTTAGTCAATCCGATGAGCAGCCGACCGGAACGGAAGACGGCCCTAGTGGCTCGGGAACTGGCGCGCTACAAGGTGGACATTTCCGCACTCATTGGGACCCGGTTCTCTGAACAAGGCCAACTGGAGGATGTAGGAGCCGGCCACACCTTCTTTTGGAGCGGTCGCCGCAAGGTGGAGCAGTAGAACGCGGGTCTCGCCTTTGCCGTCCGGGACGACTGTGGCAGTTCGCCTCTCCTTGCCCTACGCCTTTGCCACGCGGCCTTCCTGTCCGCCTCACACTCCTTGTCGATACGCTGCTGGGACGCGCGAGGCTTGTCACTAGCCTCGCGAGTGCTCCAGGCCAATCAACGCAGTGCCCCCATCTGATTGGCTGGCGGACGCAGAGGAAACGAAAGGCACACACACGCGCTGGGTCTCAGCACCTCAAAGGCCGACACAGACCACAACTTGCCTGGAGAGCGCGCTCGCGGTGACTGCCTACAGAGCCTTTGTGCACGCACTTCCAAGACAGTAAAGGTTGTCCAACTCACTCCGTCTTCTCTGACTTATGATTGGGAATCTTTGTCTTGTCGACCACACCACTTTCGACATGACATCGTGGGACGACTGCCCTGTCTGCCGCAGGGTATCAACGATCGTCTGATGAGCCTTTGCCTGCCTCTTCGGGAAGGCAACTTCGCCCTCATCACCAACGTCTACGCTCCGCTGATGACCAGTCCTGACGCCACAAGAGACAGATTCTACGAGGACCTGCATGCCCTCCTGGCGACTGTGTCGAACGCGGATAAGCTGATTGTATTTGGTGACTTCAACGCCCGCGTCGGCACAGACCATGCTGCCCCGAGAGGAGTGCTAGGTCCTCATGGTCTCAATGGCCACAATGATACTTACCTGCTCCTTTTACAAACCTGCGCAGAACGCCGCCTCATCCTGACGAACACCTTCTTCCGTCTGTCGATGCGAAAGAAGGCCACCAGGATGCATCCTCGATCACGTCGGTGACACCTGCCGGACTATGGCCTCGTCCGGAGGTGAGACCAGCGGGGCGTTCTAGGTACAAAGGCGATTCCGGATACTGACGTGTGGACCTACCATCGCCTCGTCATCTCGAAGATGCGGATTCGCCTACAGCCTCGCAAGGGACCACAAGGTAAGCGACCCCCAGATAGTCTGAATATTGCCTTGTTGTCTTTGCCTGCTCACCATCTTCATTTCAGCAACGAGCTACCTCAACGGCTAGACAATCTATCAGGTGCTGCTGCCGCCACCGCCGCCGCTGACGAGAATGCCTCCCTGGAGAATCGATGGCGTCAACTGCGGGACACAGTCCAGTCGACGGCGCCGGCCGTACTCGGTCGTGCACGTCGCCAACACCAGGACCGGTTGGACGACAACGACGCCGTCACCAGTAACCTACTCGCCGAGAAGAACCGCCTGCACAAAGCCTACGACAAAAGCCCCACCGACAGAGTTGCTTTTTGCCGAAGTCGTCGCCTTGTACAACAGCGGCTGCGCGAGATGCAGGACGCCTGGACGACTCGCAAAGACGAAATGATTCAAGGCTACGCGTACTGCAGCCATTGGAAAAACTCCTTCTCCGCGATCAAAGCTGCCTATGGTCCGCCAACCAAAGGTACTGCTACTCCCCTCATCGCCGACGGCAGTAGCCTCCCCACTGAGAAGACCCAAATTCTACAGCGATGGGCCGAACACTTCAGAGGAGTTCTCAACTGTCCTTACACCATCTCCGACGCCGCCATCGCCTGTTTACCGCAAGTGGAGACCAACATCGACATTCACCGCCCGCCCTCTCTCGGCGAAACCATCAGGGCCGTGATGCAGCCCTCCAGTGGGAAGGCGCCCCGATCGGGCGCGATTTCCGCTGAGATCTACAAACACGGCGACCATCAACTCATGGATCATCTGAGGACGCCCTTCCAGGGGATGTGGTATCAAGGAGAACTCCCTCAGGATTTTAAAGACGCCAAAGTTGTGCATTTATAAATACGGAAAGGAGATGGCCAGCTCTGCGACAATCCCCGAGACATTTCCTTGCTGAACATCGCTGGATAAATCGTTGCTCACATCCTTCTCAACTGTCTGAACAGCCACCTAGGACAAGGTATTCTGCCGGAAAGCCAGTGCGGCTTCCGCCGTCATTGTGGGACCACGGACAGGATCTTCGCAGCCCGCCAACTCCAGGAGACGTGTCAGGAGATGCGGATCCGTCTTTACTCTACCTTTGTGGACCTGGAGAAAACTTCGACACGGTGAATCGCGAGGGACTGTGGAAAATCGTGCAGGAATTTGACTGTCCGGAGAGATTCACTCAGAATGTGCTTCAACTCCACGATGGCAGGATGACGCGCGTCACGGACAATGGAGCTGTCTCGGAGGCATTCGCAGTTACCAACGGAGTGAAGCAGGGCTGCGTCCTGGCACCCACTCCCTTCAGTCTTATGTTCTCTGTCATGCTTATGGACGCCTACCGTGACGAACTCCCTAGGATCTGCATCGCCTGCTGGACGGACGTCCACCTTCTCATTCAGCGGCGGATGCACTTCCAGTCTCGAGTATCCACAACCACCGTCCACGAACTTCTCTTCGCCGACGACTGCATCCTCAGCACCACCTCGGTAGGGGGCATGCAAAGGAGCATGGATCTCTTCTTCGCGCTTGCGAGAACTTCGGTCTCGTCATTAACACGGAGAAGACGGTGGCCATGCACCAACCGCCACCCAACACAGCCCCTCCCGACAATGCAACGGAAATCAGTATGAACGAAACCCAA